ATAATTTGATTTAAATAATTCATTATTTTTTTGTTTATATGAAAAAAATATAAGATTGAAAATATATATATATATATATATATATACATCATCAATATTATTTTTTCTATTTAGAAATAAGTATAAATTTTTTATTATTAAAAAATATTTAGATTCATCTAAAAGACAATCAATAAAATATTTAAGATTTATTATTCTGTTTCCATGATATATATATATATATATATATATATATATATATATTATCATATTATTTTATAATATTAAAGATTTAAATGATAAAACTAAATTTTTAAACTAAAGAGCTATCTAACTAATCTACATTCTAAATGTGGCATTTTAATGCTTCAAAACACAAGCTCTATACTAAGTAAGTACAAGAGTTTAGTAACTTATTGTGATCTAGTGTAAAATTTTATATACTAGATTTAGTCCTTGGAAATATAAAGTGTCCAAATAGGACAAAAATTAGGGACATATGTCTCTTTTTATCACTATATAGCATGTATTTAGTTGCTAATATAAATTCTCTCACAGAAAATTATATTTTATGTGTAATATTAAAATATGTTTTCATTAATATTCCAAAAATACTCTATGTATACCTATCAGATAAATAATAAGAATATTATTAGATATAGAATAAGTTATTTAATTTATTATTAACTGATATTATTTAAATAATTATAAATTATTAAAATAAATATATAAAACTCCTAAAAAATTATTAAGTTATAATAGAATATTGATTAGAAATAAATTATGCATATAAAACCTATATTAGAAAATTTTTTAATTAAAAGGACTATTTAATATTAAGAGAAATCTTAAAAATTCTTGAAACGTTTCTAAAGATGACATAAAAATTTTAATGAGACTTGATAGACTTTATACAAAAAATGTGATTTTATTCTAAAATTATAGCATATAGATTCTTCTATAATATATAATTCTCTATTTTACTAACTTCCAAGTAATTTATTGATTCAATTTCAATAGATATATCTAAAAATAATCCACCTTTATAATTTAATTTTTATAATATTTTTTATCATTATTTAAATTAAATAATAAAAAATTATTTTTTTCGGTGTTAATACTTAAATTAGATACTAAATCTATATTAGAATAGGTTGTGGTTATCTTTTGCAAAGTAGATGTAGAATTAATTTTTTTTCCTTCTTTTTAAAATTAACGACCTTTTTCTATTCAATCTTCTTTTATTATGTATATTTTTAGAATCTATTTTTTAATAGATATTTTAATTGAAAATTTTTATTATTATTATAATTACTATACTTTATTAATATTAAAATAATAGTATTTTACTAATAATATTTTTTTATCATATTTTTCTAATATTTTAATTTATAATTCTTTTTTTTAGACCAAATAAAATTTCTTATTATTTTTTTCTATGATTTATAAAATTATGCTATGTTGATCTAATGATTTTATTTTTTCGTCTTAATTGTTGTCAATTTCTTTATTTGTATAGCTTTGTGTGCTAATGGTTATATTCATATGTTGCTTGAAATTTTTTTCTATTATTAAAAATTTGTATTGTATTGAATAGTTGTTGAAAACTTGTTGTTATGGCAATGTACATAAGTTGATTATTTGTGGCCATATTATCAAAGTTGGACTCATCGTTATTTGTTTTGCATACATTCTCTCTATTTGAGCTCTTCTAAGATCCTCCACTCTAAAAATTATTCTTTTCTATACCACATTCTTTATCCTAGAGATATCATCAATATCTACAAATATTATTTTGTTATTGTCTATATAGAATAGAATTTGGTGTTATTGCCTAAAATGATGATTTTAATTATTATGAAATAAATGATAAATTTAAATTCTATTATCATATCTATTAACAATTTATGGATCACAATCTATCCAATTCAAAAATATAATAACACATCTTTCTATAATACTTCTCTTTTAGCTTATTTAACTCCATTTGTTTTTCTTTATAGTAATGTAAATGCATTATTATCAATCTAACTTTGTGCATTTTTACCTTTCTTTATGATCAAAATTCTTAAAATACGGTCTTCAATTTTAAATTAATAAGATAAATTAATACATACCTTTAAATGCTTATATATATATATATATGTATATACATACATCTCAATTTAAGATATCTAACCTTTTATTTTTGTTAGTATTTATCACTATTTAGTGTAATATTTTGTATCTAAAAGAAAATTACAATCAATAGACAAGTTAATATAATTGATTAAATTTTCTTTTTCTTTTTGTATAAATTAGATTTTTAATGACTATATCCAATTCTCACCTTGTCTTTTTATTTATTGCTAAATAAAATTTAGATTTTATAGATGCATAATTATTTAGTTCTTTATCAAATAATTATCTTAAATATTTTACAATTTAGGACGCTATTCTTTAAAATTATTTAATAAATCTTTTAAAGTAATCTACATAAAATTATTTTATTTTTCTTATATCTCATAATCATTATAGATTTGAAATCATTATATATTAAAGTTTCTATCTTATGCTTGAAATACATAAAAACTAAATTCTATTCAATACAATATATATATATATATATAAGTTTATATTAACTTTGTTGATTTTTAATTTGAAGAGAAATATCCTTATTATATTGGATTAATATATTTTTAAAAAATCTTCTAATTAAAACTTATTTAAATTTTTAAAAAATTCTTTTATACAAAATATAATATAAAAATATGTAGAATCAAGTATTCAATCTCAACCCTCACTAATGCCTCATTTATAAATTTTAAAAAATAAAAATAAATAAAAATCTTCTTTTAAATGGTGTTAAAAAAAATTAAAAAATAAAAATCACAATAAAAATATTTAATTTTTTATGTTTTGATTTTATACAAAAAAAATATATAATTTTTTATTATTAAATTTACTATTTTAAGAAAAAATTAAAAACTTATATCTCTCATTAAAGATTGGTACTTTTTAGGTTTTTCACAATATATCTTATAGTAAATATTAATGCATTTTAATTTTTTTTAATTATGTAATTATATATTTATATTATATGACTAGTTTTTTACATTGTAAAATTTTTTTTAAAAAACTAGTCATTTACTAATATATTATTATTTTTTTAAGATATAGTATAATGTATCATTTTTTTATAGATATATTATAAAAATATAATATATCTATAAAAAAATAATAAAAAACTTGTCATTTACTATTTTTTTATTACTTAATAATTTGTTAACTATATATATATATATATATATGTGTGTGTGTGTGTGTGTATGTATGTATGTATGTATTAAAAAATTAACACTCTTTATTTTATTTCTTTACATGATTTACTTCAAGGGAAGAATCACTCAGATGAATTGAATCTTAGATTTTCTTATTCTCTTGTTGGAGATGCCATTTTTAAACAAAAGCAATACTTTGTACAAGCTTCACACAATAAAAACTCAGCCTTGGATGCAACATTTTCCAAACATACTTCTCCAATCCCATTCACCTCATTCATTTGCATGCATAGGAGTTTGTGCTTCGGAGTTTGTCCAATGTCACACGTCTTGTGGGAACAGGTGGTCTCCGAGGCTGGATCGATTGGACACAAGTCAGAGAGAGTTGTCAGAGAGAGTTGTCGGCAACTCCAGAGTGAGGCATCGACAAAACGGTTGGATCTTGAGAATGAGAAGTGTGATCAATCTAGTGCTTTTTCTAATGCTTCTAAACTTAATCTGGATTGTTCAATTGAACCCATTATGCTCTGACACCCGCAAGTGGAAACAATACCACTGAGTGACGCAACCATAACATATGTATTTTATCATTCGTGGTTGCGATATCAAACGTGTACTATTAAGGAGAGGCACCTCGTAAGTTGCGTTTCTCAGAAAGGTCAAGATAGTGAATCGGTAGGTTTGTTAAAATATTCACCGTCAGTCCATTTGCTGCTGCCTGTGCAAGCCCATCTGAGGACGCTCTTCAACCCGTTGACACGCCTTGGGCGAGTGTTTTCAGCTCATGAACCACCAGGACCTTCTCTCTCCTGAGGTACAACTTCCAAAATGACCCTCATCGCCTGCCTTTTAAAAAGCTCAGTCTGTACAATTTGAGTCCTCCAGATCGCCCATTATACGCTAGCAGGGACGCATATGATCATTGGTAAGTTTCTTCTTTTTGCCGGACAATGATTTGCTTTATCACAGTGAATTCACTTGTGTTGGATCTAGATGATGGAAGAATTGACTTGATATGGGTAAGGGTAGTGCACAATGCACCGAAACAATGCACTACCCTTACAGAAAGTGGAGCAATACTGGATGTATTCCAGCTGTTTCTAAGGTCTGAGTGCGGAAAGTACTCGAAACAATGGAGTCTAGAAGGTATTAAAATATTCAAGCTGAGATTCCTCTGTATTGTTTTTATCATGTGGGAAATTCTCCAATTGGACAGGAATATGGTATTTTCTTCGTATTTCAAAACATTTTCCCAGTGTTGATGTGCTCTCTCCTTTCGACAGCTCCAGATTCATGACTTGCGCAGCACTCTTACGTCTGGCATCCTGTTATGTTTTCATTCAAAAGTAGTCAAAAATATATGTTCAACGACGACTTTCAAATTGGATCTTTTGAAACTTTCAGTTATTGCATAAACACGAGGGACTTTTATGGGGATGTTGGTCACTGTTCAATTTCACCAATTTGTCTGCAGCCCATGACGAGGCTGACCACGGAATAAGGTCAACTTCATTCAATCAATTTGTAGTCTACGAATTGTTTTAATTCATCAACATTCTTTTAGGATATTAGTAGCAATGCTATGATTTCAAGTCTGCATGCTCATTCAGATTACGAATGGAGGGACAGTAAAGGAATCTGGTGAAAAATGGTTAAGAAAATTCTTCAATCAGAGCTAACGAAGGTTCACTCATTCAGATGCCGTTCAAATTCTGATCCTGACCATTGCATTACATTATTTCCCTTTATTCCGACAATCAGTTCACTTGTTCAACACCACAAAGAAAATGCAGTAAATCTATTAATAAACATTCCTTGGATACATTGTGTACAAGTCATCACAAAAAAATCTGGCAGCTGCCGAACCCTAAAAACAGTCATGGCCGCACGACGTGACACGACCTGCTTAATCCTTGCCCGTTCAACATGTATATTACTACCACTACTAGATCACGATGACCAGCTTCGATAATCCAAAACTTCCCTGTGCTTCCATGAGACACGATAACAAGTTTTGACGCACCTATTACAATAGTTGTACAATGTTAGCACCTCCAGAATAGTTGGTCTGGGAAGAATGTTTAACTTTGACCCCATACTGGCAGACAGCATATCTAACCTCTGCCAATTGTTTAATAGTAGCTGTAAGCTGAATAAGGTCTTGAGTAAGGAGACCCATACGACCCATACTCTAACTCGGCTGGAACCGTCTCATATGCCGACTGGAATGGTGGGTCCCTGGGGTACCGCTCCAGAGCATATGGATTGAATTCAGGGTATTCTGATCCATAAGCAGGACCTCCGTAGGGGACACCGTATGAGACTATAGTGGAGTGCCGTTTAATCCACCGAACACGTCGGAGGAGAGACTTCGGAGGAACGTTGCCAGAGACAATCACTGTCTGGGTCGCCATGTCGCACCTTACTCGGTGCACACCTGCACATGAAAGGTTTGATCTCAGACTAGCTTGAAAACCTACCAAAGAAGTAGAATAGAGGTTGTAGCAACTGGTCTCCACACTAGGTCAAAGAATAAGGGCTATCTAAGTTTTGAAGTTCCTGATTCCTCTTCAGGAAGTCCTCATGTAATTTTTCACAGCAGGCATGCTGCATACAATGATCACATTTCTTCAAGGTCTAACGCTTAAGTTTGTCAAGTAAGATCAGCGAACACAACCTTCAATGGCTAATGCTTGCTTCACCCTCTCGACGTCTTTCATTGTTTCCATCGGAACATGGAGCACAACATCCTGCACATTCATTGCATACTAAATTGGAATATGCACCCCAATTCAACCAATTGAAGATTAAGCGCTAATGATTTGAAGAAAAGAAATAAGCGAACTATAGAAATACAACTTGCTGCCTGTAATAATCACTATTTTATGATATTCGTTACATAAAAATTAATAATTAGACTAGGCAAAGATTCGAGGGGCTGGATCAGTAATCACTTGCAAGGATAGAAACTCACGGGAAGCATGCTGCGCCCCACTCCGTAGGAGACCACCGCATCGTCGTAGTAGAAACGGGGATGATGACGGTATGAGCTACCGTGGAACAACTGAACATAAGCCACATCAGTATTTTTGGTGAGCCAAGCTTTCAGGATAACTGCAACTCTACCTCAGATCCCATAGCACAGGCTGTGCTACAAAGTCAATATCATCCTTCTAATTTATCACTGGACAGACGCCAAAAGATTTCACCAACCGCTTCAATTGACGGGCTTTTGCTAATCCTTGTAATCGGCCCAGCTATGATCAAGTCTTAACAAAAAAAAAAAAAAAAAAAAAAAAAAAAAAAAAGTGACGCCTAGCACAGGATGGTCGGTACAACAAACCTCTCTGAGGAATCTTGACATCGCTGCAGTCACGTCGTACGTCTACTTCAGTTCTGCCCAGTATGCAGAGCTTGGAGTTCCTCGCACCACGTACCCACCTCCTTGATGCTCAAAGCTAAGCTGAGTGTTGCGGTGCACAAGAAAATGAAAACCAACTATTCTCTCTTCCCTGGTTCTGCAAGAAAACCCCAAGTGTACGATGGCTTCATAGAATCATATGTCACTGGCTCACTGTACACTGTTACACGGAATCTGATCGCTGCTGCAGCAGGTGCAGGGCCAAATCTAATCAAGAAACTCTGAACTGGAGTAACATGTTAAACGTGATAAAAAGCTGACAGCCTCACAAAAACCAAAACCAAAACCAGAAATAAAATAATTGAAAATATTCTGGATAATGTCTCCGACAATCTCATGACAAGCTGGAGCAGGTGGTTGCGACGCTGCAGGAACAAGCCCTCTACATTTAGTCGAGACAGGCAACAACCTTCAAGAAACCAGCTGAGCTCTTCCAAACCAATACACAAACGCTAAAGTTGCCAATCGCAAACCCCTGTCTACATCATAAACATTCTTCACAACAATCTCCAGCACTCGAAGACCAATTCCCACCAACCCTCACTTGCTCACCCTCTGCAGTTGGCAGCTACCATCCAGTTACAACCACCATGGGATGCGTGTATCCCCCGCCGCTCGTGAAAGTCTCCAAGCAAAACAAGTATCAAGATTGGTAGACAGTCGCAGAAAATATGCTACAGACAACACTATGTGCTCGTGAACAATGGATTCACACCAGAGTGGTTGGGGGAAGATCCTCTGGGCTGAGATTCAAGCAATCCCTTGCTTCTGAGGCACGGCACCCTAAGCCCTGGTCGACGGCTGCGATGCTCCAGGGATTCCAATGCCAGGAATTCAACGACCCCACCCAGTGTCACGCTTCCACATGGGCAGATGGGACCATCCATCCTCTCGTGTTCCGCCCTGCGGGAGGGTGGGTGGCGCAAGCTCTAAGCTTCTTCCTCCGAAGAAGCGTTCGAACTTGGTCTGCATCGCCATCCGACGATAGCATTGCAACAATCCCGGCGCTGGTGGGGTACCACACCGAATGACTCGCGGACTGCATGCCCTGAGTCGGTACTAAATATAGGCTAGTTTTCTTTCAGTTGGATAGTATCTGATTCTCATGCCTCACCGTGGAAACAACAGCAGATCCCCTTCTAGCCAGTGCCTGAAACCACTGCACTGCACTGGCACCGCAGCCTCATGCTTCCCTGGCCACCACTCCGAATAATCACCCTACCCTTTGTTTGTTTGTTTGTTAGTTTTTTCTTCTTTCGTGACTGGAATTGGGTGGTGCCTGGGAAGTGGTCCCATGCTGCGTCACCGAGCTTGTTTTCTGATGCTGCAGAGTTTATCGTTTTGGAGGTTATGGACCCCCCACCCACATCCCACCACAGCCAAATCACTGGAAAAAACAAACAATTCTGTTGGCCCCATAAAACATTCTTTGATTCTGCTTTCCTACCCTGATGCTCTGCAGTGGAGGGATGTGAAAACAACGACCATGTCCTTTGCTTCTTCTCCTTGTTGTTGTTTTTGTTGTCGTTGTTGTTGTAGGCTCTAAGGGAAATATTCATGTACTTGGTTTGTAGTGACGTAATTAATAGTGGGGGTGTGAGGTGGGTGATTGGGAAGTAGTCTATATCAACCAAAGGAAGGACACGTCTCACATGAGACACAAACCACAAAGACAAAGAGATCAATAAAAGAGAGAGTGAGTGAGAGTATAAAGATAGCATTGGTGTACTTTTGTACTACAAATTGTACCTTTTATTTTTGTTGACTTGAGTTCATACATGTGTTTCAAAGTGGGAGAGTGATGAATGAAGTTCTTTTTAGGGGTTTGCATGAGATATTTTTGACTTTTGGAGTGGAAAATATTTTGAATTTTGTTTGGATAAAATTTGTGATTGTTGGCCTGGGTAAAATGAAAAAGAAAACTCAATATAAAGGAAAACGTGCAGTGGTGTTTTTGTTTTTGATTTAAATTAAATATCCAAATAAAATGCCACAAGTCCATATACAAAATAATATATTAACAAATAAAACTATCTAATAATAATAACAGTATTTTAAAAAGACAATAGATTTATTTCTAAGTATTTGAATATTTTAATATTAAATTACATTTTTGTAAAATCCTGAATTTATTTTTATTTATTTATAGATATGGCATCAACAATTCATAAAGCATATGGTAAAATATTTAATTTGAATAATTTATGAATATATTTATTATTTTATTGGTCTATTTTATTAAGACTATATGTATGGTTAATAAAAATTTCTAGCCATTAATACTTTATAGTAAACATGTTAAAGATCAATCCTAAATTTTGTTATATTTAAAATATAAAAAAATATATCTGCTTGTAAGGTATTCAAAATATAAAAAAATATATCTGCTTGTAAGGTATTCAAAATAAGACATATATTCATATATATTTTTTAAAAAAAGTCACTTAATTCAAAATGAACATCTTTGAATTAAGTGAATTTTTTAAAAAAATATCTAAGACATAAACTAATCAACAAAGAATAATCAACAAATAACTTATTCCTTGAAACTAAAATATAAAAACTAAAAATATCAAACTAAAATATAAATATAAAAGAATAAAAAATAAAATTTTATCATAATAATAAACCTATTTTGTATTTTTTTAAGAAAATAAATTTCTAAAAATATATTTTCTATTAAATAATTAAATAATTTACCAAATTATATCAAATTGTGAAATTTAAAATGCCGAATTCGAGTTTTGAAATAATTTTAAGTTTTACTAATATAGATAATTACTTTATTACTACATAAAACTCTATGATTTTTTTATTTCTCAAAAATACTGAAAATTTAATGACATATCAAATCAGTTAAATACTTTAATATAATTTAAAGTTTCATTTCTAAATTTTAATTTTAAAACTTAATGTTAAATACTTATAAATACTAATAGTGATATTTACAAAAATCAATACAAATAAAAGAAGATTTTAAATATATGTTTTAAAGGTAATTTTTTTAAATATTGAAATCAAAATGTAAAAAAACTAAAAACTTAAAAACAAAACTCAAAATCGAAAACTAAAATTGAATAAGTGATAAAATAATAAACCAAAGTTATTTTTTATTTAAATGTAAGTTTTTGTACAAGAATATTTTTATCAAAAAATCTGCCTTTACTTCAATAGTAATGAGCAGCATTAGTTTATTCATTCCAACAAGTAAAAAATAGTATGTACAATTTTTGATAATTTGGTTAAATTTTCTAAAAATTAATAATATTACCAATAAAATTTTATTTACAAAGGAGATGGCTTTAGATTTTTTTTATTAATAGCTGAAAAACATTCTAAATAATTTTCGTTGTATTAAAATACATTATTGAAAATATAATAATGTAACAATTAAATATGAGATTGGAGAAACAGACAAATGTCCTTATGCCCATATATTATTAATAAAAAATCAGAAATATTGTTCAAACTTCAAAAAATAATTTAAATGTAAAACTTATAAATATATATATATATATATATATATATTTATATACTTTTAGGGCTAAAAAACAAATTAAATATGAGAAAAACAGAAAAAAAAAAACAAAAAAAAAAAAAAAAAAAAAAAAAAAATCTCTGGTTATTTAAAGTCTTTAGTCTAAACACAATCTTAGGAATTCAATATAAAAAAAGTTTAAAATAAAAAAAAAAAAAAAAAAAAAAAAAAAAAAAAAACTATCCATTTTGTATTATTTTAAATTTTAATATTAGAAAATGGAAAATTCTCTTAGTAACTTCTCCAAATTCATAATAATAAGTAAGAAATTATAAAGATTTTTTATTCATGACTACAATAAAATGAGTAAATTAATATATACAAACTTAATGTAAAATACTATATATATATATATATATATATATATATATATATATATATGTTATTTTTTTATTAATTACCTATGTAATTAGTCATGAATTGGAATATACTTTTAAATGTTTGTATTTAAGAAAATCATCACATTTCTTAAAATTATATTTTACAAAAATACATAGAGTACTATTGTTAGATTTTGATTCCAATATTAGATTATTATTAGATTTTGATAAAAGCTTAAATAATAATTAATAAACTAAGTATAATTTTTACATTAGATTTTTTTGTTAAACATGCGTATGAAGATAAATTATATTAATATATTTTTGATTTTATTTTTATTTTAATTGGATAAAAGCTAAATTATTGTTGATTCATATTTAAGTTTTTAATTTCAAATAGCAATAAATTAGAAACTTATGTTAAAAATAAAAAATTTGCTAAAGTACAATATGGATTCTTTCCTCATTCATTGTTATGATTGCATTATAAATCTAAATAATTTAAATTGTAACTATGAAATATTTAAAACTTAAATACTGCGGTCATAAAAATTCGACAATAGTTTTTAAAATAAGAAATAAATTCCGTCAACATAATTAACACAAAATTCTTTTCTGTCAAAATTTATTATCAGTAAAAAGAAAAAAATAATTGGCACTTAATGAAATATTTAAACTGTTAAATTTGTAACAAACTAAAATATCAATCAAAAACTAAAATTAATTAAAATTTGTTAGTAAAAAATGAAAACAAAAATTTGATGTTATAAAACTAATTTGTTAAAAAGAATAAATCATCAAACACTTAAATTAACATCACGATTGAATTTTATTTTATCAAACTTAAGTTTTCATTAAAATCTAATGGTTTGATCATAAAAATATTGAATTTAATTTTAAATCAAATTTTAAAGAATAATTCTCATTAAAAAGATTAAAATAATTTATAATGTATTATTTTAGATTAGAATTTGCTTATTAACATTCCTTAGTAAGGAAACATTCATTAGTAAAAATCAATTTTACTATTTAAAGTATTGATTGTATTATAACTAGTATTACTTCCAAAGGTTTGTTATGACTTTTTTAAGGAACCTATATTTGTTTTTCTAATTTTATTTTCTTAACAAACCAAAATTGACTTATTTCAATCGTAAAAGATCTTTGCAGCACTAAAATAATTGGCAATTTATAATTGATAAATTTGTTTCATCAGAAAGTTAAATTTAAATATAAATATCCTAAAATAAGTTAAATTTAGTAAAAAATTTATTAATTTTATGGTTTATAAATACCATCTATAATTGGACCAATTTATTTGATTTTAATTGCCAATATTGTGAGGTGGTTAGAAAAACAGATATTTTTATTATTTATAAAGTTAATTTCTTTTCAAAATAAAAATTAAAAAAATGTGTTTAATAATATAAAATAGTTAAAAAAATTGTGTTGAACATAAATTATTAAATATCAAACTTATTCTAAATTGAGTTTAATAAGTTTTTAACAATATATTTTATTTTTTTTGTTTATCTAAAAATATTTTTAAAATTAAACTAAGATAAGTTAAATCTAAGTCATCAAATAGAATAGAGTTGTTCATAATTACATTTGTGAAACTCTCATAGAGAAATATATATATATATATATTTATTAGGTGATTAAATAAATAAAGGAACAAAAACTTATAATAAAATATAATATTTTAATATAATAGCATTGCATTATTGTGTTTGAGACAACTTCTTTCCTTTTAATTTTTTCTATTGTTGAGCTTAAGCCCCAAGGAAAATACATAGATGTATACATAGATTATTTTAGACATACGGTGACATTTTAAAGATGACAAAATTCTCAGACCTAGACAAAACAAACTACAACTTTATAATGATCTACAGTATTGTCACGCTTAAGATATACGCATTTATCTGTTTATTTGTCTACGTTGGTTACAATATCGACATGTAATATCCGCAGACAACAAACTCAGCACTCCAATTCTACACAGAAGGGTGGGATGTATAATTCTGGTAACCATGGAACAAGCACCGGGAAGCTAAGAGACTTACAAGTTGAGAAGATCCAGCAAGCAAGCTTTCATTTCATAACAAAAGCATCAGACACCACTACTGCGGTGAAATAATGCCTCACAAAGCGAAGCAGCGGAACAGAAGTGCACTTCACAAACATCTTGAACCCTTGGCAAGGGTCATGACCCTTTGTTGTGTAAATGGTACATGGTACAAAGTATATAGTTACATTCAGCCGCATGGGTGTCAATATGACACCAGCTGATGGGAAAGGCCTGTGCCGAACCCATTCATTCCTACGTTATCAGGTCAATCACTCGAAACTAGAAAAAAGGGAACAGATTTGCAGTCTGTTGGGATTTACTACCTATCTATCGCCTTGAGCACTAGGACTGGAAATTGTTCATCAATTGTACAGAATTGGGCAAGACTACTGTCATGAAACCATTATCGAACACTTAGTCGCCCAGGTATTACCTGCTGCTAGCAAAGGGGAGGGGGATTGCCAGACTGAGTCGCTCCGATGGTCTTCCAAAAAATACTACCGCCTCCCATCCTCAATGGCCCGCATTAGTAACCAGTTTTGCATTCTAGACTGACAGAATTACTCGGATCCAAGGCAGTGATTCAACTTTCACTTGAACAGTTCCTGCTATGAGCGGAGTGTCCAGCGATGCTCGAGCTTCGGCATCGTGAGTGGAATGAACACTGTAAAGGATGTAGAAGACAATCGCAATGATGATCCAGATCACAAAGCGCATGTATGAAGCCTTGTCCACTGAGCCCAGGAGGAAAACGTTCAGGAAAATGGACGCTGCTGCAACCCATGGCATGCATGGAACGCTCCAGTCTTTCCCTTTCTGAGCTGTTGGTATCTTAAACCAAAATACGGCCGTAAGAGCAATGGCCAGGCCACCCACAAGATATAACGCCCAGTTGTGCCGATAGTGTTGGCCACACTGCCAAACAGTCACGAATGTAATGGCAAGGACGCTGAGGACGACCAGGTATGCGGCCGTTGGTAACGACGAGGTCTTGCCGCGCACGTAGTGTCGGCGGAAGATGAGAGCGTTGGCCACCATGTAGAACACGAAGAGAGTGCCGATGGATACAAGATTTAGAAGCACCGTGAGGTCGGTGAAGAGTGATATTGCCGCAGTGCATGCACCTGATGAACATGAAAATTCGCAATTGAGTCCATCGAATAGTGGTTGGCACGCTAGAAATTTAGAAAACGGTAGCCAGCGTGGGTTGAACGGAATTGCAGTAGGTTGGGAGAACAGGAACTTACCAAGAAAGATTGTGGCGTTGATGGGTGTTCCAGTGGAAGGATTCACAGCAGCAAACCATTGCGGTACTATATGTGCACGACCAAGAACACACATGTAGCGTGCCTGTCCAAGCAGGGCTACAAGGAGTGACGTCATAATGCCCAAACTGGCTCCCGCACCAATGAATTTTGTAACCCATTCCCACCCCACAACATGTTGAAACGCGGAAGAGAACGGAGCTCCTGTGTCAATCTGCAAGTAAAGAAGCATTTTCAGTGACGAACTTAATCACAGAAACCCACTCGTTGTAAGTATTCCCTAAGCTGCCCACATCTCATCGGTGTTTTCCCCCAGACTACTGAATGGCTATCATAGAGCCAGCTGTGTTCCGGGGACTTGCTCTCATTGGGAGGTTTGAGCAGTTCCAGCAAAATTTAGAGTCATAATAAAAGCTAGATTTCGTATCGAATCTCCTTGGTTGATTGTGCAAGGAATTTTATGTTAGATTTAGTGTGCAAACCTCATAAGCTAGGTATTTCCAAAATGTACTGATCTCATGATAATTTAAGTTGAATGGCAATTTACGAAGTTTTTTAGCATAAAAACTTCGTAAATTAAGTAGGATTGACTGACTCTTTAATTTCAATTTCAACCACCAGAGTAATTCTCAATCAAATCGAGCAGATTGATAAGCCACAAAGATAAAGCGGCACTGGGAGTGTGATTGCAAGATTTCTAAACTCGTAAAAAATTTCCTAGCGAAGTTGCCGCCAACGAGACAGGAGGGAGAGGAAGTACCATATCATAAGGCTGCAGCATGCACAAGGCGATGGCGATGAGCGAGTACAGGACAGTGACAATGATCACTGAACCTGAAACACCAATGGGCATGCTCCTAGCTGGATTTTTCACTTCCTCAGCGGTGGTCGAGACGGAATCAAACCCAATGTAACTAAAGTACACAATAGCAGCTCCGCCCAAAATCCCTCTGATTCCCATGGGAGCAAAACCCGACGGGTTGGCCACCGGATCGCCAGCAGTCGTAAGATTCTTGACGTCCCCTTTCACGAACCCCATGACGATGATGAAAAGTATAAATGCAATGTGAAGTACAGTCATGACCAGGTTGAGCGTGCAACTTTTCTTGGTACTGCAGCACAAAAAGGCAGTGAGGAACATCACCACCAAGACAGCCACTACATCGATCTGATTGTACCCATCAGCTAAGCCGTCCACCTGTACGCGCCATGCATCAGCGTGCAGCACGCCATACGCACTGGCCGCATACGACGTAAAACTCCTTGCTACAGCCGCGTTAGACAAGACATACTCCATAATTAAGTTCGCTCCTGCTATGAAAGCAGGAAACTCTCCTGAAAACAAACAAGAAGACGCTTCTCAGATTGTGCCCGAAACGGCGCGCAACTATACAGACTGGACGCGCAACTAGAGCTCTGAAGAGGACTGAAGGTAAACCAACGAGACATCTTCCTAGCCGTCGATTACAAAAACAGATAAAAACAGAAGGTCTTGGATTACTGGGAATGAGGAAAGCGGCCTTAGGAGAATTAGGCAAGGTACGGTAAGAGCTAATATATATATATATATATGTCTGATCTCGGGAATAAATCGGGGAGTAGTCTACCGAAGGTAATGCGCAGGTAGCTGAAGGCGCCGCCGGCAACCGGCATCTCAACAGCAAACTCGGTGTAGCAGAGAGCAGAGAGGAGAGCCGATATTCCAGCGACTAGGTATGCGATCACCACCGAAGGTCCACTACTGCGAGCTGCAGTGCCAGTGGAAACGAAGATGCCGGCGCCCACCATTCCTCCCACACCCAGCGCTATGACATCCCACCAATGCAAACTCCGACTCATTTCAGCACCAGACCTGGCTCTCACCTGACAGTGCCAGAGTACAAAACTTTGGTTATTTTTCTGAGTATAAGCGCTTGATTGTACAAGATTAAGGAATGGATGCCACTAATGATTCACCTCAAGAACCATAAAATGAACTCGTTTCGTGACAAAGTACCGAAGTCGCGTGTGAAGCATGTATACTCGAGACCAAGGACAGGGCTTAGACTCCTAGACTGGAATCACGGATTTCTGTAGGATATTAAAAAAAAATTGATTTAAATTTTTTTTAAAAAATAAAATTTTAATAAAAAAACCGTCTCGGGACGCGCTCATCAAAAATCCTAGAGGATTGTACCAGCGTACGAATGATGGTGAAAACTCATGCAAGAGATATAACCCACCGCTGAGTCTTTTATAAAAGTGGTCATCAACGCATCTGGCGTCAAAAACCAGCAAGAGCATACAGAGTGCAGGAAGAAGTGCTGTAGGCTTGATGTGCAAGAGCGGACATGGTCTGAAATTGATCACTGTCATACCTCGCTCATCTCATCTGTGGGCGTCGATATGTCCCAAGCATGCTTGTAGAGCCGTCGGGGAGTGTCAAGGATCGCTCGACCATACTCCGAAAAACTTGAAAAGCTAGACGGGGGTTGATACGAAACGCCTTCATCAACCGCCATGTCGAGTCTGCGAGGCCCACTCTGACTTCTCACTTGATCGAGTGCCACAAGCTCAAGGACGCACTCAATCTACAAGCGGGTGAAGGGAATTTGCGCCGACAGCCGCTCCGTACACAGCGAAGTCGACGTCGCGGATAGTGAACCTCTTGTCGGATAACATGTTAAAGAGTAAACGTGATCCAAGCCAAGTTTCCGGCACGCATGAGAAGCATGAAAATCAAACTACAATACTCGATAGACACACCAGTCTCTTCGAACAACGAAGGTATCCTACATTGACACTCAAGTGATAGCTCGCAGAGCAGACACGGTTACAAAATCGAGTGCAGAAATTGGTACTCCTAACCTAGAGTTCGCTACTAACTCTCTTTACTAAGACGGCGCAAACACAACGTGCAGGGCCCTCCACGACGAGTCTTGCGACCTCTCAAACACCCCCGACACTAACCCCCCGCAAGTCAACAAAATCGTGCAACAATCCCAGCCCAGTACCCACTCACCCTACCACTTATTCTTCTCAGCACAAGACACAACAACACCGACTCTCTCTCCTCTCTGTCTCTCTCGCTCTCTCTCTCCACGTGCAAGACTACAACGCCGACCGGACTCCGCTCCACCCGAGCTAAGCAGCGACTTCGCACCCCACGACGAACACTAGTCTAGCACGACGCACCCACACTCTGTCCACATCGCCACGCCTAAAGCCACGCCATGAACCAACTACGCTAGGAGCGACGAAGCATGATCTGATCAACAGTGACAATATAGCAACAATCGCGGATCCAAGAGGGCACGCCGTCTCCGTCAGAGACGAGAAAAAGCTGGCAATAACTGCCCCGGTGCCAAAAAGAGTAGCTAGCTAGAGTTCAATACGAGGGAGAGGTTGGGCAGCTGTGGCTACGGCGCCCCAATGGTATGGCGCGAGCTAATCCAGACGCAACGGGGTGTGCAGCCTGCCACACAACAGATCGATCGATCGACGTAACGAGAAAAAAGGCTGCGGCGACTTGCGGATCATAAATCCGGCCAGGCTGCACCAGGAAGGGAATAGAACAATAATACCTGCGCAATCCAATGCTGGCTTTTCTCACATCCCCCCATCTCTCATTCATTGCTCACTCCGCCTCCGACTCCGCTCACTCGCTCACACAATTGCTGTTCCCGGGCCGCGGCGGCGGCGTCTGGTGGATGGTGGCTGGCAGCGGCGATGGGCCGGGCCGGGCCGGGTTGCCGAATTGGGAAAGGAGTCTACTTACTTTTTGCTGATAAATGGGGCTTTGTTTTTTTCTGACGTCGTGGGGGGCCTGTTGTCGCGAAGTCTTGTTGCTTGTTGTGTCCCACTCTTGTGGTGATGGGGCTGCTTTGCTGCTAGTGGGTGCAACCACGTTGAGCTGTGTTTTTTTAAGGTGTAATTACTACCCATTTTAAATTCTGCGTTTTATGTTCTGTTATACTTCCAAAGCTGTGGAATTCCATCGTTTGATTTCATCCTCTTTTTTTTTACATTCTAGTTGTGATTGAGGTGAAGGAACTACCTTGTTGGACTGTTGCATTAAAAGTGTGTCAATGGTATCACAGTTTTTTTATAGTGACACTTTAAGAGCTTTGGCATCAAATTGGTACACTTTTACCAACTCAATTACATGATTAACTAACTTATTATCACTGATTGTGCCTTTTTCTGATGCCGAATTTGCACCCAAAGTAGCAAAGATAGTATGAAACGTGAATTTATTGGTCTAAACAATGTAGAAGTTATGATAGTGCTTGAGGGAAGGTTGTATATTTTTTTTCTAGATAATGATATACTAAATGTTCTTCAATTATTTTTTTAAATGCTCAGAAAAGGCATGATAATCTTCTAATGTCAATTGAATTTGAAATCATTGTTTTGATAGATATAACGTAGATTTCTATTTTTTTTAAAATCATGCTTGTAATAGAGTGTAAGTAATCCTTCTAATCATGAGGATGAAAGCAAACAAAACACCCCTTTTAAATGATATTAAAAACATCCAATTTACTAACTACTTTGTTAAGTCTTCCTTATGTTTTTTTCTTTGTACTTCTATGTTTTAAGAAGGAAGGAATCAAGATAGCATAATTGATTGAAGCCAACACACGTGGAGCTTGGAGCTAATGACCATAAAAGAAGCATTACAGGGCATGATAAACAATCTGAAACATTGAATTCATGTCAAAAAAACACAAGTTTATTTAACTTTGTTTGATAATGTATTCAAATTAAAAAAAAAACTACAAATATGTTTATAAAAATTGTAAGGAAGGTAATATTTAAAATAAAAAAAATAAAAAAATAAAAAATAGTATTTGTGCATATTAATAAAATCATTAAAATGTTGATTTTGTATATGTGTACTTTTTAATGTATTATGATATAAAAAGAAGAACATGAGAAACAACACAAATTCATTATAATGGTTATGTTCATTCCTTGAGAATTTTTACTTTAAATAAATAAGTCTTGTGATCTTTGATTTGTTTTTATTTAAACTATATTATTTCATATATAATTTTTTTAATGTGATTTAAATTTTTATTTTATAAAAAACACAATATACATATAATTTGATTAAGTCAAAACTCATTTGTATATTTTTTACATTTATTTCTATGTTTTTTTAATGTAGAATCTTCATAATATACATAAATACATATACTAGTAGAAGATTACATTGCCAAGCACAGAATTCAAATAAAAATTATGAATTATATAGCCCTTATACAAATGTCTTTTGAAAAGAAATAGATATGTATATATATATATATATATATCAATGCAAGATTGTATAACCATGAAATACAATAGAATGTATAATATTCTATAATGATGTTTCTAATGTGAAAATGTGGCTTACATATACAAATCCATATTGGAAACAAAGTTAACATTGTGAACATCTTTGGAAATATATTATTGTTATTACTATTATTATTATTATTATTACTATTTTGCCTTCTCATGTATGCCAAGTCTATGTGAAGTGATGAGATTTCTCATTCAATTAGACTTGAACCATATGTAATCCCTCAACCCATGGAGTAGCTTAGTGATATATATATATATATATATATATATGTGTGTGTGTGTGTGTGTGTGTTGATATATATGAATAAATATCTGTCTGGGTCTCTATTTATCTACCTGTTTATAAAGAAAACTCAACTTTATTTTAAAATTTATATAATGTGTGTGCATTATAAAAATTCATTTAAAATAAAAAATAGCTGTACGATTTTACAATTATTTTACAATAAATAATCAATGATTATTTAATTTTCAAAAAGTAAACTATAGTTGCAAATTAGATTGTTTAAAATATTTTTTGATTGTAGTTTTTTAAGAATTAAATAATCATTGCAAAACAATCATTTAAAATATCATCACAAACATTAAGTGTAGAGCCAAATAAACAACATGAATAAATTTTTTCTATTTCTAAAATATTAGTAATGATTACAATGCTGGCATCCATTCGAATAAGAAAGTAAAAATAAAATTAAAATTAAATCCCTTCGTTCAACAAATCATCTAATATGGGTAGTTTCCTTTTGTCTTGGATTTTGTTGTCTAATTATACTAGTGTTTTATTTGATGCAGCATGGATCTCATGTGATTTTTTCATGGATTCAAGCAGAAGAATACTGGAAACAGCATGCTTTATGAAACATAAACAAGGAGCTTTAGATAACCCTAATTTGGGCACTTCAAACTGTGCGTGCTGCAAGGCACGCAGAATTAAGGTTGCGGGGATCCGAGCGTTCCATGGAGGTAGCGAGCTTTTGGCGATGAATGGCAGGACTAATTCGAGCAGATCGAGAGCGAGAGAGAGAGCGAGCCCGAAAACCTGGTCCGCAAGGGAAGCGGCGTTTCGCACCCGATTCCAAGGCGGAGATTCGGATCCTCCCATGAAATTTTGAAGAGAAAAGATGCCGGCGTAGGAATGTGCTACAATGCCACAACCAAACCACCATCAGAGGCATCTTTTCTCTTCAAAATTTGACCTGCAGGCGTAGGAATGTGCTTTTTTCCTTAAAGCCGTGTTTGCGGATCTGCACGGTAGCATTCCTGAACTGCCCACAAGCGAGAGAAAGACAGAGGAAGGATTTCGACTCAGCCATAAGATTCTCGAACTGAAGAGACAGAAGAATAATAATTAACAATAAATGAATAAAACAAACAGCGCCTGCCCTGTGGTCGCAGAGCTTTCACATAACGAATCTGACGTTGCCTGTTGAATCAGACTACCGTTGAAGGTTTGAAGCTGTTTCCCTTTCGACTACTGGGCATCACAACAGTTCCTGTCAACGAATGAACAATTTCCTTCAGAATTGATACGTGGATGTCCATGTCGTGGCTTAAAAAGTTGCATCGGGAGATTGGGTGCTGAGAAGGAAGAAGCGGTGGGGGTGCTGGGGAGGGAGGCTCTCATCGATGCACGCCTCAGTTTTTGTGGTCGATTCACAGGGTCAGGCTCAGAGGCGATTGAGTGATTAAGGACTCGTCGTGCAACTGCCTTCACGATGAGGTACCGATTCATGGCAGGGTGAATCACAACGAGAGCCACGATTAGTGCCCTAAACTGCATTCAATTCAGGATCCGTGCCAGCACAACACCATCGTTCATCTATGAACTTACGTGTCCATCGACCCTTGTCCTTGAATTCCATTCTGGAACTACAAAAATGTGCTCTGAAAAGTGTTTCCGGACGAGGGGTTTAGCACCAGCGAAGTGGGCTTCGCCGTGAGCGGAGTAGCTGTCGGCAAAAATTGCCTTCACATTTCGTAAAACATCGAAACAACGCCCCCACCAGTAAATGAGCGGGTGCAATTTATAGTAGTAAATTGGGTTGAAATTTCTGGAAAGAGGAAGAGTGGGCAGAGAGAGAGAGAGAGAGAGAGAGAGAGCAGCGAGCATATCCAGAATGGAGAAAGCGGGGGACGTCACGACAACAGAAGCAGGCAATGGGGCTGGATGGTAGCGAACGAGAAGGTCGAAACGGGAAGAGAATAATGCAGATATAATTAGAAGAGCCGCTTCTAGGCTTCTAGGGATGCTCTGAATAGAGCCCGATCGATGCGGCGCGTCAGACTTTTCCCCTCCTCACGGGACGAAAAGGTCCTCAAAAGCGCGCTCCCCCGCAACCCCCGAATAGCGAAACCCATTCAAGCGTTATACTATTCCTGCGAAACGGTGCCGTTCACCGCCACTAAGGCTTTTACTTTTTCGTTTTTCCGGGCTGCTGAATCTCGGACGTCTTGAGCTCGTCTGCCCGCCGATGCTAATGAGGGTGATGTTGGCAGGAGGCTCTCCCACGTGTTCTTGCCAGCTAGACTCATTCCGTCGCCATGTAAGCTCATTTCGGGAATTCCTTGGCGGGTGTTGGATTTCGAGAACGTAATGCGCCCCGTTGTCTAAGATGCGTGCCTCTGGCGTTCCCCAATAGAATGTTTTTTTGCATTAATGGTCTTTTTTAGTCAATATTGAAATAGGAGAAAGGGAATTTTATATATTTATTTATTAATGGCATGTTTAGACTTGATGCTGGGTTCCAAATTCTATTGCGTCACACAAATTTTGGAGAGGTGGGTAACACTGTTCAAATAAACAAATAATCATTATTTAGGGTGATAATCATTTGAACTTGGTAGAGGTTTGCCTATTGCTTGATGAGGTTTTATTACTTCCCTTTATTTGATTCTATGCTCTTTCTTTACTATTCTTTTTTTAAGAACTGGGTGTTTCTGTAGCTATTATTGCAGTGCTAATGTTTTGGATTGGACAAGAGGACATGGAATCCCATAAAAGAATTCGTTTGTTTGGTTATTCTTTTAATTTTTATTATCGTCTTTTGAGGAGAGTCTGTGGAAACATTAGTCTAAAAACTTGTGTATGGAATAAAATATTATGATTCTTTATACACCATATATATATATATATATATGTGTGTGTGTGTGTGTGTGTATTCTTTGTGGAACAATAAATATTTCTAGGGATATAAACAATCAGCTATAATGTGTTCTACACTATGTAATGTAATACCTTCTCCAAATTGATAAATTAATCTTCTGATAACTGATGATTTTATAAATAAAACTTGTCATAAT